TGGTTGTTCGCCTCGCGCTTGTTCCTCCGTAGCGGTCGAGGAATTATTTTTGTTCCCTCCCCCTTCCTTAGCGTCGGCCTCTCCGGGGACTGGCACGCCAAGTGTCAGGATGTGTGTGGGGGATGGCAACGCGAGACCAACAACGGTATGCTTGGGGACGTGGGTCGCGCGGCTTCCGAAGTTGCTAACAAGCACCGTAAACGGCTCGCCCGGGAAGAGGTCCATGACCCCCTGGGCCATCAGGCATAAATTCTTATGCGCCGTTTTGGGGTGGTTTTGCAGGAAGCAAAGCCCCCCAACCGGTGTTGCGACGCGTACCATCGCTTGGGTCATCGGGGGTATCGTGACCCCCTTGACCACGCGAATTTTCCGTGACGGTACGTTCGTCGGGAACTGCGCGCGCTTCCGGTCGGCCGAATTTTCCTCGTGCGGGAGCTGCTGCAACGGTCCCCTCGAGGCCATCTTGCGGTCGTGCCTCGAGGGTGTGACTCCCGTCAGCGCTACGGACGGCGCATGATGGAACAGCACCTTCCTCTGCGGTGGCAGGATCGCCTTCACATGGCGATCCAGGAACGTGGTTCCGAGGATACAGTCCACGGCGAGGTTGGTGACGACCAAGAACGGGACGCGCGCGACGAACTCACCAATCCGGACGTACAGTTTGAGCTCGCCGACGGCCTTCATCGACCTATTCGAAGCGTCGATGAGCGGCGGGCTCCGCGCGGACTGGATGGCAGCGCGCCACGGTTCTGCCACACAGCGTAGGTGGATTAGATTCGGGCCGGCGCCCGAATCTAGAACCGGCGTGATGGCGCGCATCATCGCGCGTCGTTGTCCGACCGTTGCGGTGACCTTATAATTTTGCTTCTTGAAGAAGCAAATTGCCGCCTCGTCCGTTCGGCTCTGCGATGGCGCGCGTACCGAAGCGGTCGACGGGGTGCCTTGTTTATTGAGGCTTGGCACGGGGAGGATCGTCGACGCCTCTACGCGTCCTCCCCGGCTTCCCCCGTCAACCCAAGGTCCTCGGGCCCCTCGTCCGTCAGCGGTAGCGCGGGTTCTTCTGATTGGACGGCCTCGCGCGGCTCGACCACGTTGATGCCCGTGGGAGCCTGCGCACGCGAATTTCGCCACGCGGTCGGCGGTTGGCGCTCGAACGGCGAACCCGGGCGGAGACCTTGGCGGATCCGAAGCTTTTGATAATTGGCCTCGCGGGCCTGCAAAAGCTTCGAACGCAGCGCGCTGTCCGCCACCACAGGACATTGCTCCTGTCGGTGGGTCAGGTCCAGACAGAACCGACACGGCGGGGGTCCAGGTAATCCTTGGTTGAAGAACCGGACCCGCTAGTTCTGTACTGGACTTCCGTACGGATGTGCGCGCGCGTTACCGTGTTGGGCGGGCGCCATCGGCGCGCCCGCCGGGGACGAGGCAGGTGACGGATGGTAGCTAGTCGGCGGCGAGCTAAGCGAGCTCGGCGTCGCCGACTGGTCCGTCACCGACAGTATCTCCTCCGTTTCGGTTCCGCGTGCTGTCGGGAGTTCAGGCAGGGACTCGACCGACAGCACGGGCCTTGTCCGCGCGTTGTGCGTGAATCTTCTCACCGAGTCGGACGGTGCTTGAGGCGACGCGAAGGAGGTCGCCTGTCTTCGAGCCGAGCGGTGCGTCTCGCCTATTGCTTGCGCGTAGCGTGCCACCGCTTGGTAGTCCACGCCCGGATGCGTCGCGAGATAATTCCGCACCTGCGCGCACGTCGCTGGCAGAAGTCCCTCAACAAAAAGGGAGTTCAGGCTCCTGTCCGAAAATACGGTTCCGCAGCGCAACGCCTTGTCCCACAACTGGTTACTGTACACCTCCTCCGTCATATTAGAGCTCTGACGGGAGGAGGTGACATCACCGACCGCTTCGGAAATAACTTCGTCGGTCGCGTACGTGCGCAATAAAAAGTTAATAACTTCCGCGTAGGTTTCGAGCATATCGCGCTGCTCCGCATCGACCGCCATGGTGTTCCCGTGTAGCCTGGACTGGAGCAAGGCGTGAGCCTGCCCAGTCAAATAGAACTGGAAACACCATACGGCCGCGCCTTCGCTGACCCCATTGTGGTCGCAGGCCATCTTGAAGCGCGCGAGGAATCCTAGCACCGCGATTGGATCTTGACCACCGAATGTGTGGGTTTTCAGCTGGACGTCCAACTTCTTCCGATATCGGTTAACTCGCCGCGCGGTACTCGCGTCGTAGCGCGCACTGCGATTTTCCAGCCTATACGTGCGGTAGTCGACGGCCTTGGTGAACAGGTCGTTCAGCGGCCTGATCACCGGCAACCGTTTCGGATCCCGCCTCGGGGCAGACCGGCGGTCTCTGCCCCTGCGATGGCGGTCTCCTTCTCCGCCGGGGCTACTGTAGCCCTCCGGATCGGAGTCTTCTCGCCGGAACCGACGTCGGTCGCGCGCATTGCGGCCTCTGCGGTCGCTTCTGCGCGATCCGTCCGACTCGGTGTCCTCGTCATCGGAGGGGTATCCACCTCCTCCGGCATCGCGGTATCGCGTGTAGCGTCCGTCGCGGTTATCATCGGAGAGGTAACCGACCCCTCCGGCATCGCGGTATCGCGCGTAGCGTCCGTCGCGGTTCTTGCGCGTCGCCCTGTGGCGAAGTCTTGTGTCTTCTTCCTCGGAGGGGTTTTCTGTACCCTCCGAAGTGTAACCTTGAGCGCCGGGTGCGCTTCTTCTGCTCGACCGATACGGCTGTCGCTTTCCTGTCGCGAAGCGCCCCAGGCGGTTTTCTGTCCCGCGGGGGCCAGCCGTATCGGCGAGTACGGGAGGGCCATTTTCTGTGGGCCCTCCTGTAGCACCATAAATTGGTGGGAGGTAAATGGTCTTACCCTCCGGGTGAGGGGCCATTGTACCGATCCCGGGTGCGGCGCCGATCGGTTCAGCGTGCGTTAGCGTAGGATCCGGAGCGGTTGAGTCGCGCTGTTCGCGTGCGTCGACTCCTGCTCCGGCGAAGGTCGTGGCCAGACGATTGGCCACGGCGGAGCTGATCGCTCCCTTTAGAGCCGTATCGGACGGGGATTCTTCATCCACAGTGGTGAGCGCGGTCACCACCTCGCATTGGACTTGAGCGGGTAGAAGTTCGTCCAAAAGCGGTGGTATCGCGCTGCGTACGTGCGCGTCCACGAGCGCGGGCACCGTTCGGTCGAGGCATACGCGCGCTACCTGGGGGAGTTCCATAGCGAGGAACTCCTCGACCCAGGCCTGGATGCGCGGCTGAATCGCGTCGACCATCCATTGGAAGCGATTCTCAGTGCCTGCCGACCCGGCCGGCGTAACATCCGATGCGGACGCTCGCGTGCGGCCCGGTCGCGGTGGCGGTCGCAGCAGGGCTTCCGGGTTCTCCACCCGGGGGCGCGGTGCGCCACTGCCACTGCGGGTGCTCAGACGCCCAGAGGCGGAGTCTGCCCCTTGATCCGGTCGGTTCATCGTCGAATACGCTTCGCGATCGACGCGGTGATTTCTCAACCTTTTCCGTCCGTACGGTTCTGCGCAGAGCGGGCGTCAAGGCGCGCGGCTCTACCTCGAGAGTTGTAGCCCTCCACAAGAGTACCAAAATGTGGTATAACTCTCCTCAAACCCTAGCGGGCGAGAGGCTCGGAGGATGAGCCGAGGGAGCTCGCGACGCGAGACGCACAGCGCGCGGTTACCGAACGGTCGGACTTGCGAAAAGGGAGTGGCACACTGGCCGGTTACGCGCAGTCGTCCCGAGGTGCTAGATCGGAGACGACCGGTAACGGGTTAGAAGCCAACGCGCGAGAGAATACCGAAACGGCAGTACGTAGGCGCGAAAGGGAGGGGGGCAAGTCTCCCCCCGTGTTTACTGCGAGGACGGTGTCCAGGTCTTAACCCCTCAGAGGGACGCCCGGAACACCTGTCCAATACAGTACCTGTCACTTACTGTGGACCAGGTACTGTACGCGATTGAAAATCTAGCGCCGTCATTACACTACCGCACGGATCTTCACACTACGCGCTTGCATAACACTGGGCGCGCATTATCCCCACACGGTTCCTTACACTACACGTGCACCCAAGCGTACACCTGTCACTTGCTGCGCCCGTTCGGTAATTGCGCGTATTACACGTGGGCCACGGTGCTCCGTGCCCGCTGCGCGCGGCCGCTCCTACTGTACACCGACCGCGGATCGGTCGTTGTACCACAAGAATCACAAGGAAAACCCTCAAATCCGGATTGTCGTCGAAAGGGGGCCTTGTGCTTCGCGTGCACTGCTCTCTGTACGATCAGGGAGCGGGATTGGCACGAGGGGAAAAGGAGCGAAAGGATAGTATGAGAAGGGAAGTAGAGGGGGGGTGAGTGATCCGGCTTTGCGCCTTCAGGGGTGAGAACGGGCTCCGGCTTGTGCCTTCGCAGACTAGAGTAGCGTAGAGTTGCTTGCTCGAGTTGTTTATTGTTCTGCCTCCGGGCGTGGGAAGCGCGGACGTGCGCGTAGTACATATAGGTCCATGTAAGCTTGCTGTCTGAATCGCATTCAGGAGAATACGTCCCAATAATGGCCCTGGCACCAGAGCCTGTGACCCAGAGCCATACAACTTTGGTCCCAACTACCAGGGCTCATGGCTCCGTAAAATCCTGGTTGACAATTGATTTTTCTGATATTCGCCTCAAACGGCACTCCCATTGGTCCCGGTGGTGGACCTTGTTGGATCCTGCAAGCAAGGCCTCAATGATGGAATATTTCCATCCACCCTCGATCGGAGCTGTAATGCGATCTGGCATCTTTGAAAAGGTTGCTGAATGTTTCTGAAGTTTCAAAGGTTCCCAAAGTGCTGCCGAAAGTTTGAGCAACTTTTTCTGCGAAACTCAGAAACATGCGTAAGCAATTTGTAAACAGCTCGATTAGCTGTAATGATATCTTCCAACTGAGCCACTTTTCCACAAAACCGAAAAGAATTGGCAAACCATTGCCAAAACGTTTGCGGAAATTTTAGGCGAAACTATAAACGTCCGTGCAAGTTTTGGAAAGACGTGGTCACAAGCATAACTGGACTTACAGTGACAGGTATTTTCCGTAGCGATTCCATCATGCTTCGTCCACTGTTGACAGTGGCGCACCAATGATATTTAAACGAATAAAAATGCGCTACAACACGGCATACCAGGCGAGCTGAGTCATGGACGCAACACCAGGGGCAAAAATGAGACGGGGCCAGGGTCAGACGTCTCGGAGCGGATGACCGCGCAGGACCTATTCTCCTGATCGCGACTCTGTCTGCGGGGACGGTAAGCTTACAGCCCATGTTCTGTAAGCACGCGGGATATCAATATCCAGAAAGGTGCATGCACCTTTTTGTGCCGTGTTATCATATCAAATACGCCGTACAGTATATATGCGCGTGCGCGACGGCTGGAAGCGGAGGGAGTCAATTCCGCGGGGCAATAGAGAGGACGGGGGCGGTAGCTCAAGGCAATGTGCTTTATACGCGCACGGATGGGCGACAGATGCTTGCGAGTTTCCAAAGTGTGTAACCTGAATGCTCTCTGCTGCTGGCGCTGGCACCAGCGACTCACGGACGTCCAGAGCAGCAGATCGCCGCGCCAGCAGTGCGGGGGTGCCAACGCGGCCGAGATCATTGCTGGCAGGTGGCAGGAGAGATGTGGCCAATGGTGGGCAGTGGGTGCATCCAGGAAATAACACTCCGCCACTTCGTCACTTCTCACCCAATCAGAGGTCGTGAAAAGTGGCGAATATTCGCCACTCTAGGCGAAGTGGAGGGACCCCCCTGAGGTGTCTCCACTTCGCTACTCGACGTTTCCACTTCGCCACGTTCGGCATGCATCGTCCTCGCCTCGCTGTTGCCGCTCTCGCAGCGTCTACAGCCGCATTTGTCGTGGCTCTGGCGACTCTCACAATTTTAAAAGCTCCTCGCCGAAAAAGAAGGTCACGAACGGCACCCAAATACAAACGGGCTGCCCTCCTTCACCCAGAGCGTCATGTGAAAACGAACGCCATGACACCCTGGAATGCCATTTTATCATGGGGCAGTGATGATGACTTTTTGGTATCTCTCAACTTTACAAAAGAATTGCTCCTCCATAAACTGCTAGTCGGCGCGTGAGCTTGAGCTGCCGGCGTGCTTGCGGGGGTGATCGGCGTGTGAGAAATAGCTGCTGGCGTGTGTTCGAGGGCGAGCGATATGTGTGTCGACGGACTGAGACCCGTACGGCCTCTTGGCTGAGGTCTCCGTGGAGTAGAGTCTGGGTCCATTGCGGTGGTAGCCGTGTCGTGGGGAAAGGAGTAGAGGCCGGGGAGAAGCGAGAGCGAAGAATGCGGATTTGAAGAAGAGATCAGTTTATTTGGGTTCGCTTGGGGATGGTAAAGCCGCTCGTTGGGGGATTTGTGCTGTGAAGGGGCGGGATTGCCGTTTCAAAAATTTACGGACTTCGCGGGAAGAGCGAAAAATGTCCAGCGAGACAAGAGTGGCGGAGTGGCATAGTGGCGGGCCAAATCTGCCTCCATTTCTTGATGTTCTATCATAAAGTAGCGAAGTGGCGGAGTGTTATTTCCTGGATGCACCCACTGTAGAGACAAGATAGTGAGCAGTAATTCGCAGAGAAGTAGAATAATATTCTAATATGAAATATTATTTCACCACCTGCGCACGCTAAGCAGACAGACAACTACTTGTAAGACGTCGAGTGGACGCTTTGTCGCAGTCTCTCCAGAGAGGTAACCCTGAGACAAACCCTTACTTGAGATATATGGGTACAGGTACAGGGGAGGGCTCCTCAATAGTTCGCATTTGAATAGTTCGTTACGCCAATAGTTCGCTTTTCTGACGATGTCACGGCTTTTCAGACGTGTACACGTGTACCGATTCAGACCGGCGCGACCGCCACTGTCCTCCCTTTGTTCATGCTCCAAGAGCACGAGTATAATCTCTTCTTCATCCCGCCCCGCAGCCGTCCACATTGCGCGCAATGACGTTGAACTCCGCACCCGCTGTTAAAAGCATGCGCAAAAGATTGACTCTCTCCGAAAAAGCAGATATTATTCACCAGCTCTGTAATGGGTTCACCGTGAGAGATGCAGCAACTCGTTTCGGTTGCAATCCGCGAACAATTCAAAAGATCCGTAAGAATTCTGTACGAATCCTCAATTGTTATTGAGAAACTACCGCCACTGTCCGATGTTGCGCAGTTACAGTATTTGAGGGAGTGGAGGCTTTAGCGGAAAGGGCAGGTGTCGTTGCGGCCAGCGAGGGGCTTCGTCGGGCAAAGCGAGTCTTTTTCGAGGCATACCGAGAGCAGACGAGAAAGAGAACACGGCAGACGCTCATTTCCGAGCATTTTTTGGTAAAGGACCTATGCCAGCAATGCGATCTTAAATGTTCGTTCTGTCAATAGTTGGCATTTTTTGGTCCTGGCACGGGGGTGAACTATTGAGGGGTGCCTACTGTAACTGAATAGAGGTTGTCACTTTACCCGTCACTCTTCCTGACGGACCGCAAGGACAGACTGTCAGCATTACAGTCTGTCACCAGCGGTACTTAGACCCACGAGACGGCGACGACGAGTAAAGACACCCCCATGAGGATTACGATTCATCAGGTTATGGCCCGCTTCGCACCACTACGACACACCATCAACTGAACGCAAACTGGATCGCGCTACACGCACTCGCAGCCGTCGAGCGTCTGCAAACAGACCAGCCGGAAAGACAGGCATCACAACCCGCCCCCGCCGCCCCCTTTCCGAATCCTCATCAACACCCAACCTCCTGCATCCAGCAGCCCTTCTCTACATCCCTCCTCCCAGGCAACAACGATCTCACACGCTCACCACCATGGACATCAAGGACATCCCCAAGCTCGACCGATCTAACTATGTACCATGGCTCCTGGCCATAAAATCCGCAGCCTACACACAAGATGCAATCGAACATATCGAGGGCAACCCGCCCACCCCAGACGACGAGCAGGAACGAAAATCCCACCTCCACGCCAAGCACAAACTCTTGGGCAAAATGCTAGCCACAATACCAGCGGACATCATCAACCTCGTTCTTATGCCTGACGAGAACCCCACACCACACGACATCCTCGAGAAGCTCAAAGCCCATCTCGACACAACGAATGCGAGTGACCACCTGTACCTAAAACAACTAGCGGAACAGTGCCACATCGAACCAGGCCAATCAATCTATGAATACGTCCAACGCCATGAGACCATTAGGGCGCAAATGATCGCGGCTCGCTACCCCGACATCGCCAAACAGCGCACAACAGTAGACTACATGATCGAAGGCCTCAAACACAACCCAGCAACAGTGGACATCGGACTCCAGCTCCTGTCACTGCAACCCAAAGACGTGAAGGACTTCGTGCACAAATACAATCGAATCGAAACATACCGTCAAGCCATCCAACCAAGCAACCCTTGGCCACAAGCTGCAGCCAGAACACGTGCGTACATACCAACTCACGGCCGCCGCCCCCAACCCCGGCAAATACGCCGACCCGCCACAAGACACACCAACCCCTGCCGCCATCACATTTCAAAGGGCGTCAGGTACCCGCAACACGCGGACAGCGAATGTCGAGACCAAACACATCCGCAGAATCAAAAAACAGCACGTCGGCGACCCGCCGCCAAGGCACGAGCCATCGTCGAACCAGACGACGCGCATTACAGTGAGCTCAACATGGACGACACCGACACCGAACCCGACCACCACCAAGGCGAGGCGGGTACGTTCATCCTAGACTCGGCAGCGCATCCCACGCACACATCCCGCCCCCTACCACACATGAAGCTCCTCACCCATCCCACAAAATCTCTCACAGCAACTAACCAACCCACGAAATGCACCCACGCCGGCACCATTCAGACATATACCAATAAGGGGTACCCCCTACGCCTCAAAGCAGTACACAGCCCGAACATTCCATACACACTAGTATCTGTCCACGCTCTAGCATCACTAAAATGCACGGTCACATTTGACACAAATACGGCACACATCAGGGACAGACAAAACAAAGTCATCGGCACGGCTCCATGGAATAAATCACTGCACGCCTATGCCTGGTCACCCCGAAAAAGAACCACCCGACACACAGCCAAAAGTGCACGCACCATGCCAACACGAGCCAACAACCGCACGACGACCAAGCAACCAACGGCCACAGCACAGGCCACCCCACCCCGATCAGCGACAAAATCAGCACACCTATTGCCAAATCGCACACCCACCAAAACCCGATCGCCAAAAATACAACACTTCCACGACCCCAATCCACACACACCCAAACAACTGTCAAAAACCACAGCAACCGCGTATGAGTGGCACCTCGCCCTCAACCACGCCCCGCCCAAAGCGCTCCAACGCATGGCACAGGAAGGAACCATCGCCAACCTCCCAGCCAGCCTCCAAGGCGCCCCCCCACCCATCAGCTGTTCCTCATGTGCGCACGCTCGACAATCCCCCCGGCCGCACCCAACCGCACACCACTCACAACAAATCGCAGAGCAACTCAGCTCAGACACATGCGGCCCCATCACACCCCCGTCAACACACGGAAATGCACACATATTCACCTGCATAGACACGGCCAGCAGATACCTGGTCACCTACTACATTCGCAAGAGACAAGAAGTGAACGCCATAATACTGCAGTTGTTCCACACGTTGTCCCTACAAAACAAACTCCCCCAAGCGTACAGGACAGACAACGCTAAAGAATTCACATCGACACACGCAAAAAGGACATATCAATCCCACGGCATACAGCACATAACTAACACCCCCCACCAGCCACAAGAAAATTCTATTGCCGAAAGAATCAACAAAACGCTGTTCACAAGTGCCAGAGCAGCACTTCATCACGCGTCACTACCACCCCAATTTTGGGAGGACGCAGTACGCGATGTTGTCTTCAAGTACAACATAATGAGACACAGCGTCACCAAAAAAAGCCCGTGGAGCCTCTGGCACGGCAAACCAGCGCGCATGACACGCATCTTCGCCTTCGGGCAAATCGGAACGGCACCAATTCACGCACACAAAACCAAACTCCAAGCTCGCAGCGAACCCGTCCGATACATGTTCCCAACATCGGAAACGCACATCATGACCATCACGATAAACAGTGCGCGATACAGGGTCATCCGAGCGATCGACTTCAAACCATACTCACGACACCGGGACCCCACACACACGTCAACGGACGCATTCAAAACCAAACTGACAAGACCCAAACCGCCAGCACAAAGCAACAACAAGCACCGATACATACCACCACCAAAAACCATCGACCAAACCACACCAGCGCCACGCCATGCCCACGCAGCACGGCAGTACCCGGACGCGGCAGAATGGGAGACCGCGCACAACGCTGAATTAGACATGCTGGACCAACAGACCACGATCAAATGGATACCGCCATCAGACGTGCCCCCGCACGAAAAACTCATACCCCTCACGATGACGTACAGATACAAACGTACACCAACAGGGAAAATAGCAAAACGAAAGGCACGCTGTTCCATACGAGGCGACCGCATGCAGCCAGGCAAACACTTCGACCCTAAACAAACGTCCACTTTCATGGCAGAGAAAACGTCAGTGCGCACAATCCTAGCAATCGCTGCATCACACAGATGGCCTCTACAGTACATGGACATCACGGCCGCCTACTTACACGAGACACATGACCCCCGCTTCCCCGTCTATGTGAGACAGCTCCCCCGATTCGACGGTAACCTCAAGCACGGCACCGAAGCGGGACAACTAGTAGGCAACCTATATGGCGGCCGATCTGCCGGCCACCGTTACACTGCCGGCCTTCAGAAACATCTCATCAAGCAAGGCTATCAGCAATGCGACAGCAACCCATGCTTATTCACCAAAACACACACAACGGGCACACTGCTGTTCGCTGTCAGCATGGACGACTTCCTCGTCACCGCTTCAAACCAAGCACTCATCGATGAACTACTCACCGCCCTCAAGCAAAAGTACAACATCAAAAATCTCGGATTCCCCCATATGTACCTCGGTTGGCAAATAACACGCGACGCACAAGGCAGCATCCACATCTCGCAAGAACAGACCATAAGCACCATACTTGCGAAACACAACATGTCGGAATGCAATCCAAAAACAACCCCCGCGCCGCAAAAGCCAAACAAGAACGTAGAGAACCAAACGGCGCCCCTATCCCCCACGCTCGCCACCCACTACCGCTCCATTCTAGGAGACCTCCGGTATGTCGTCGACAGCACCCGTTACGACGCGTACCACACCACCAACCAGCTGACGCGACACAGCAAGCAACCGAGCCAAGCAAATTGGCACGCGCTCAAATGGCTCCCCCGGTATCTCAAGGGCACCAAGAGCAAGGCCATATCGTATCACGCTCGAGCCCCGATATGTCTGCGCACATACAGTGACGCAGACTATGCAAATGCCAAAAGCCGCAAGTCGCTCACGGGCATAATACACACTATCGGCCACTCCCCGATAGCCTGGACATCGACGCCCCAAGACGTCGTAGCCCTGTCAACCTGCGAGGCTGAATACATAGCAGCCTCGCTCGCCGCCCAGCAGACACTATGGCTTCGTCGGCTGCTTCGAGACATGAAGCATCCACAACAGCACCCCACGACAGTATTCATCGACAACCAATCGACCATATAAGTCGCGGAAAACTCCGCCCCCACGCGCAGACGGAAGCTCATCGATGTCAGGCACCACCACCTGCAACATCACATCCAAGGCGCCGCTATCACCGCGCAACACATCCCATCCGCGGGCAACCCAGCAGACCTATTCACAAAAGCGCTCGGACCCATCCGCTTTCAAGAAATCTGCAACATCATCCAACCACATGAACCCCGCAGCCCCGACCCGAAAGCGCACCCCGGCACATCCTTCACGCGCACCCCTCAGCGTCCCCCGGGACTGACGGACCGCAACTCTCTTCATCAGACGCTGACAGGTGCGCGCGTGACCGACCGCAAGGACAGACTGTCAGCATTACAGTCTGTCACCAGCGGTACTTAGACCCACGAGACGGCGACGACGAGTAAAGACACCCCCATGAGGATTACGATTCATCACTTCCCTCTGTACAGTTATACCATCTCGGCAGCTGCAATACGCGCACAGTTGATGAACGGCCCTCAGCACACCGTGCTCGTCGTTAGGAACGGCCCTGAACACACAACGCCACAACAGCTTACGAGATCGCCGCGAAAAAGAAAGCAAATTACTTGCCGTGCATCGCAGAGCCTTCTGTATCCCTCCCCCTTACAGTAGTACTACAGTATCCATCGGCGGCAGGGCAGGAGGAGTGTGAGGTCGCCGGGGATTGGTCGCCAGGATTTGGTCCTGCTTAATGACAAATTCATTTTGATTGAAACATTGTTTCTGCATTCTGCACTGCATGCTGTGCCCTTACCCTCGGTTACTGTACACCGACTGCGCTAAATTCCGTAAGGGCTGTACTGCATCTGTGCACAGTCTTGTGAAAAATGTTTTTCAATGCGACTCATCATTGAGTCCCCTTCAGTGTTCTGTAACCACCGCTCCACAAAAGAGCTCCCACGATGATATAAGGGTCAACCCTGCAATCGTCGTCACCATTTCATTAGCTTTCAGAAGCCCTTTTTCGCATTATCTGTTTTCATCAATCCCCACAAAGGTCCAAAGCTGCTGTGTGAGTGTCGACACTTCCTCTAACACCATTCGTTTACTCTTGAAATGGATCCCGCAAATTTCTCGGTTGGATTTGAACGTACCTTGATCGCTCTGACCTATTTTCTGACTGCCGCTCTGTTCCTGAGCTACTTGTACGGTGCTTCTCAAGAGCGTTCTGACCTCGGCGTGGGGCTGCCCCTCTATGCCAAAATGGCTTCCTTGGCCATCATGATATGCTTACTTTCATTTGTGAGTTTAATAGGGTTTCTTGCTGGAATAATATCAGGCGTTGCATTCGGAGTCATTCTCATTGGACTCATACCTTCACTTGATGCAATGCGCAGGTTGGTCTCAATGAACCCGACTGAACACCTAGACCTAGGTGCGAGATCGGCTCTGTGCATACCTATCGAACAATTCGAATACCTCCGCCATGGGGAGCCCCCAAACGCCAATCTTCAGAACAATATAGATATTCACTTCCCGACAACGACCTATATCAGAGTTCCATCTCATGAATCTTACACGCCACTATTGCCTATAACATGTATGTGGAATGGTGAGATAGTCCGCTACAACGAAAAGGTTATTGTGTTGAAAGACGAGAACAACTTGGGAGACGCTGTCATGTGGTGGAAGGCGGCCAAGCGCGGAAAGAAGATCATCAGAAATCTAGAAGGGGTGAGGTTGGCCCATCCCAAACGGATTGTCCGTGCGCTTGAACTTATCGCAGAAATGGCTATGATAGGGGATTCCATCCTGCATTACTATGAGACAGCACTGAAAGAATATGCAAAGTCGGACCAAATTAGAGATGCGGTTCACACTACACCGTCCTCAGTCTATTCCCGGATTCTCGGTGCAATCGGATTACTAGACGAGTGGGGAATAGTTGATGACGCCAAAAAGGAAAGGTTTATCTGGGAAGATTTCTCGGAACTGAGACGAGGAGACAAATATGGAATGCTATTCTTCATTCTTTTAAACACGTCCAGTTTTTTCGACTCACGCAAAGAAGAGGAGGATGACTTTCCACGTACTACGGCCTCAGATGTCACTAAAATTTTTATGGAGTCCAACGAAGACATTACAAGAAAGTCTATTACGGAAAAGTGGCTCTCACATTATTACTGGGACCCAGAGTCCCCTTTCAAGAATCAGGATGAAGATGAAGGGGCGTCCCTGACGTACATCGATGCGACCCCTGCAGTCTGAGATTCGTTTGTGCTGATGAAAAGAACGGAACCCCACTTTGTTTTCCTTCAAGACGGGTCGATCCGGCACTGCTGTGATCAGGCGGATGTGAAACTCGTGGAAAACTCTCATGCCCCCTGTTTTCGGTATGATGTGAGTTTCGCCAAATGCGTTCTCTGAAAAATTTTCGTTTAGAAAATATGAGCAAACACGCCGCCAAAACATGCGTTTTCGGGACGTTACGGACAACCTTATATTGTGCAACAAATGTTTCTTTACTCCAAAAGTCAACGCTATCCCTCCCCTCTGCAAATCTCCACAAGGGCTACTATAGAGGATTGAAGGTCGTGCTGGCATGCTTACAAATAGAGTTGTGATGGTTTCGAAAAGGGGCCAGCCCTCGACCCCCAGAGGACACCTTACGGGAGGTGGTACTGTACAGCATCACCTGAAAGCAGATTTTAACGGGCTCACAGCGACATGCAGCTTACCGGAGCGCTCGAGCTTTCTCTTGTGCAAACCCGCGGCTATGCTCAAGAAGGGACCACCGACGTCAGGTGCACGGCAGGAACCGGAGTGCGGCTCATATGATCTTGAAACACAGACCTGCAAACAATGCACGGGAACTCTACATAGCTAGATTTATCCTCCGACGCATATCGATGCCAATGCTTGTGCGTTCGAGAGTAGAAGAGGGTCAAATAATGTATGTGGAAGTTCCGCGGTTCATGGAGCTACGGTTCACAGATCGGCAGCTGGAACACGCCTGTAACTAAAATCAAGGTGAAGAAGCACTGCATTTATTTGTTGCCGTACCTGTGACGAAACAGCTGAACCGAGTGTCTGAAAGCCGTTCTCATCATTAGTTCCAGCGCCACCCCCATCCCGTGGGCTTTTACCAACGGCCAAAAAGGGGCAGACGGCAGAACGGGGGCTGCTGGAGTGATTCGGCAGACGTCGTAGGGGTGTGTCCTATCAGTCCTTATTAGTAGCTAAACATGACAGTGATCACTTTCGCCCCTTGCTTTCATTTCGCCTTTGTAGTGTCTGGGTGAAAGATGACCGAAATTGATACAGGTATGATTATTTTTTGAAGCGGTTGTTTCTTGTGCGCGTTCTCCGTAAAAATATGATCCAGGCAAGCGAACTATTAAAACTCAATACGGGCCGCATGTAGTTTTACAGTTATTAAAGTATCGGCTTGTACAATTTGTGTACTGTTCAGTACCAAACGTTTGACTCTATGCATTTGTTGTTGCAAAAGAAAAAAAAAACGATAGATGCCTCGTTCGAGATTAAAGCTGGTCTCACAAGTAATCATATGAATTCACTTCCAAGCACCTGTGCCGACTGTAGCACACGGTGCAGACCAGGTGCGCAAATGCAGGACCAAACCTATGAAGAAAAAGAGAGTAGCGAGACGGCAAGAATCTAAAAAAATACTCTTGTGGAGGGTCGAACTCCAGACCTCCAGCATGTTAGGCTGGCGCTCTAACCAACTGAGCTACAAGAGCAAATGCGATACTTCTCCGAGAAAATTTACCATTATTTAAAGGCATTATAGCCCTGAAATCTACTACTGTAAGCCGTGAAATTACAGTAAACATGAAAGAGCGCAATTACTCACAGATGACGAAGAAGCGGACAACGCCATTCTTCAGCTCCCCTCCGTCACCGCACGCGCGTGCAGGCTGCACGCGACAGTGGTCGCGCCAGCGCGTTCAGCGCAAGCAGCTCGAGCGCGACCGGCCTCGACAAACTCCTCGCCCTGTCCATGCCGCTCTGGCCCCCGCCCAGGTCCCCCCGCCGACGCGACCGTGGGTGCCTGTAGCAGCCGCGCAACCCCGTCCCACTCGCCGCTGCATCCCCCCTGCGGCCCATCCAAACGCTGCGAGCGCCACGCCGCCTCCCATGTTCGTTCAACTGCCTTTGTCCTCCACTTGTCCGTGTGTGGAGCCTCGCCCCCCTCCAATTGCCACGTGCCCAGGACCGCCCCGGTTCTTCCGTCCTCACTCGTGCGGCTTCCCCGCGCAGCACTCGCACACCCCTCGTCAGTCCCTTCGTCAGCCTCGAGTAAGAGACTTCAGCGAGTGCAGCACTCGCAGCCTCTCCGTCAGCAGCCTCTCCGTCAGTCTCGCGAGCCACACCCGCTGAAGCTCGCGCTCTCGCCCGCCCCGTTGGCAATCCCATCCGCCTCGACCCCCGCACGGGCGAACCCGTCGCCCCCCCGCCGGCCGTCACGACGAAGAGTGCGAGTGCTGCACGGGGATGCCGCGAGAGTGAATGGTCCTCAGAGGACGGAAGACCCGGCGCGGGGCCTGGACACGTGGCAATTGGAGGCGGCGAGGCGCGACAAACGGAGAAGTGGAAGACAAAGGCAGTTGGAACGGAAATGGGAGGCAGCGCCTACGCGTTTCGCCCTGGACGCAAACCTCGCCGCCTTCTCTTCCTTTGCTGCAGCCCAGCCCGCCCTATGCCGCGGCGTCCACCTCGCTGGCCCCGTTCTTCCTCCCCACGTTAATGTCCCCCGCGTCGCTCGCTGCACATACACCTACTTCCTCGCCTGTCACACCACTCCCTTCGTCCGCCTCCTCGCCCACCTGCGCCTCGTCTACGAGGACCTCGCCGCCCACACCGCCCCCCTCCCTCCCGCCGCTTCCGCTCTCGACTCTTTCGCCGCTGCCGCCGTTGCCTGCCGCCTACGCCGCGAGGAGCTCCGTCTCCTCAACCGCCGCACTCCCATCTCCGTGCCGCTACCCGTCCGTCAGGCTATGGCCCTCACGCTCCACGCTCAAGCGCTGGCACGTGCCCAGGGTCCCTGCTGCCCGCCATTATTGCCAGGATTGCCAGGAGGGAGCAACCCCTTCACCTATCGTCATTCCATTCGCGTGCACCCGCTTTCTTCACACACTCCATCAGTGCGATGCGGTGCGCGATGAGTCCGGTGCGATTAATCTGACATGTCCACTTCTGCCGTCTCAACTTCACACCTCAAATTAATCCCCGTTGGTGAAGCGTGGGGAAGTGCACAAAGCGGTCGCACTGCAGCAGGGAGGTTTTTTTTCGGTGCGCATCGGGAGCAAGGGCGCGAATCGCGCGGCACGCCGCGCAGTCGGGACGCGCTGCCCCGCGCCCGGGCCAGGGCGGCGCTCTTCGGCCGTGCGTCTCCGGAGCTGCACGAACCATCGCTACATCTCTGCCGGCAAACGCTTCCCGTTCAAATCACGCGCGACCCGCAGCGCAAGCACCGTGCCACCCTGCTTTCCGCCCGTGCGCAGAGATGCGCGCACCCCGACTGCCGCCCGCGCCGCGCGCCCAAAGCGCGCGCGTCCGAATGCGCGCCACCACCTCCGGTTGCGCGCGCCCTAACCTAGACGCGCTATGCCTCCCCTCCCCCCCTCTCCCTTGCGCGCCCGCGCGCGCGGCCCGCTCGACGCAAGCCATACCGCGAACGCCCCGTCGCCGCCGCACGTATGGACGGCGCGCGCGCGCCCGCCGCGTTCTGGTCGCGTGGCGGACGCTTCCCCGCCGCGACTCTATTTGCTCGCGCGCTCGCGCGAAGTGTACGTAAAAGTTGGGGCCGCCGCGCGCCGCGATCCGCGGGCAAGCATCCCCGCCCCCTCTCATTCTCGCGCGTTGTGCAGTGTGCATCACACGCATGTACTGTAGTGTACCGATGCCCCCGGCTGGGCCAGGACGCTCACACTTTTGAACAGTGACTGCCCGCACGCAGCGAGCGCCCGAGCACCGGCTGGAGGCCGGCAGCAAGGCTTCCGGGCCGCGACGCGGTCCGCTGGGAGCGGACACCGAGAGGCAAGCGAAGCATTCAGGCAGGCATGCATGTCGGACGCGCTGGAAGCGCCCGCGCCGCATGCGTGTGGGCCGGGGGGCGGACGCTGAAAGGCAGGCGAAGGACATGGCGACGCGCGTTCATGTCAAGCAGTGCGTAGTGATTGTTCATGAAGGGTACCGTTTGCCGATTTTGTATTTGTAGGAGGCAGGCGTGCGGTGTCATGATTCAATACTGTACCACCGCACGTGTACACCAAGTACACGAGTGCCAGAGATGAGACTCTCTTTCAGGAAACGATCGTTCGCCGTCTCCTTCACGGGCACCGACGAATACTGGTAAACATACCAATTCTCGTTCGACCAACTCATGTACGAAATGATATTTCTTTTCAATGGGCCTTGTACGTTTTTGCCTGCAGACCCAGCTTTGGTGAATAGGTCACGTGTTGTCGTCATCGATGAAAGTTGGTTTTCAGAACACATACTTCAACTCACTCAATATCTGAAACAACCATCTCGCTTCTTGTGCACAATCGGATAGCGGGATGTATTCGGCTTCCGTCGCTGACAGTGCCGTGTACGGCACTGTCTTTTCTGTTCATCCAGCTGACGGTGCCAGAGTGTAATTGAAAAATATTCCACTTGTTTACTTTCTCTTTTTCCGGATGCACCCAATGTATGTATGTGCGTCGAGAATCGGCGAGTAGATGCAAGCGGTGATACGAAGCGCAGGTAGAGGGCGGGTGTGACGAACGAAGCGCAAATTTATGGTAAAATTGAAGAAAAAAGTTGCCCTCGTTTGCTATTTTTTCTTCGGACACGTGTGCACTTGTGCACTGTGTTCCATTCGCCCCTCTCAACAGCCCCTCTCAACATTGAGAGATTCACCTCAACGTTGACAAACCCGTCGCGTCCTCCGCAGACGCGCCCCTTCTGTCTGTGTCACGCATCAATCCATACTGCTCCATACTGCTCCAGCAAGTCCACGTCCGTGCACGGCAGGCGAGCCGCGCGACCTCACCAGGTGCAACTTGGCGCGCGCCAGGCACAGGTCCACCTGTCTATCGTTGTTGAAGTCGAGCTCGACGACACCCGATAGTATGCCTGAAACCCGTCCGTGCACGGCGCGACGATGGCAGTGACAAGCACGTTGGTAGTTCATACATACACATACATGAACCGCAACGTGCGTCAAGCAACCTTCTCAGCCATTCATAACAAAACAAAACACCTCCTCCCCACTACTAAAGGGGGGGTGCTGCAATTGTCGGACAGTGACAAAAAGATCGGACATCCAAAATATTTTGAAAATTATCTCCGACACGGGCCAAGGTGCACCGCCGCGCGTAACGGCGCCAGACAGTGCGCCGTATCTCAGAACGACGTGGTTGAAATTAAAGAAAAAATATCTCAATCGAGTGCTCACAGCTTGCTACGTACTGTATAAGAGTGTAACAACCCAAAAATACAAAACAGGCATACTTTTCTATTTTTTTTAAATTTGCTTCGATGTCCGATCTTTGTGCGCGGTTGGGGTGCAAAAGTGTCCGCGCGCTTCAATCTCACTCCTCGTCTTTGTCCGTCTTTGTCCGTGCTTGTTTTCGCCAAGTCCCAGTAGACAAACGGCTGAGAGTGTTCCCGTCGCAAGACATAAAAAATGGTGATTGCTTGACAATTACAAGTACTTTTTCCTTGAGGTTTTTGTCCCACTTTTAGAGCACCCCCCTTTACCGCGCACAGTTGCAACGCAGTACAGTACTAATGTCTCGTGCACCAAGCGTTTATCCCTTTCCGCAATTTACACCACTAGCTTCATGATAGCAACCAGATAACCCACCCCTGCAACTACGACCCCGCGATCGTGGTCTATCTGCAAGTCTTGTGGATTGTCCAACTGGGCCAAGACAGCCTCAGACCCATCCTCTCGCCTTTGCACAATTGCTCCCTCCCTTGAAAATAATTGTGATGTTCGTCCTGCGCGAGAAGCAGTACTCAAGTATGTCGGCAGGATTTCTTCCCAATCCTCTAGCCTCCCGATGTGAAGTGTGATCCCTCTCTCCACGTCCCACACCCGCATACTCCCGTCCCACGATCCAGATGCCACACGACTTCCGTCTCCACTAATCGCAACGCGAGCCACCGTATCCGTGTGTCCAACCAACGCCTCCCCGACTTGTGCCCCCGTCTCCACGTCCCACACACGCACGCTCGTGTCAACCGATCCAGATACCACACGTCTTCCGTCCCCACTCATCGCAACGCTAGCCACCGTATCCATGTGTCCCACCAACGCCTCCCCGACTTGTGCCCCCGTCTCCACGTCCCACACACGCACGCTCGTGTCAACCGATCCAGATACCACACGTCTTCCGTCCCCACTCATCGCAACGCTAGCCACCGTATCCATGTGTCCCACCAACGCCTCCCCGACTTGTGCCCCCGTCTCCACGTCCCACACACGCACGCTCGTGTCAACCGATCCAGATACCACACGTCTTCCGTCCCCACTCATCGCAACGCTAGCCACCGTATCCATGTGTCCAACCAACGCCTCCCCGACTTGTGCCCCCGTCTCCACGTCCCACACACGCACGCTCTTGTCAACCGATCCAGATACCACACGTCTTCCGTCCCCACTCATCGCAACGCTAGCCACCGTATCCACGTGTCCAACCAACGCCTCCCCGACTTGTGCCCCCGTCTCCACGTCCCACACACGCACGCTCTTGTCAACCGATCCAGATACCACACGTCTTCCGTCCCCACTCATCGCAACGCTTACCACCTCTCCCGTGTGTCCAACTAACGCCTCCCCGACTTGTGCTCCTGTCTCCACGTCCCACACACGCACGCTCTTGTCCCGCGATCCAGATACCACACGTCTACCGTCCCCACTCATCGCAACGCAATACACTTTCGACTTGTGGCCGCAGAAACTTCTCAATACTTTCCTCTCCGACGTACTCCACAGCCTTAACGTCCCGTCTTCATATCCCACAACAACATACCCCTTCCTCTCACAGAGAGTTGCGCACGTGGCTCTTGTCACGCTCGGGTTTTCAAGATCCCCTGGGCCCTGGCTCTCCGTTTCGAACTCGCCTTCTAATTGACTGCTTGGTTCATTGGCCCCTGGGCCCTTGCTCTCCGTTTCGAACTCGCCTTCCAATTCAACCATCTTCGTCTCCTTCTCAGCAGATTGCGTGAAAACTGCTACTTTTGCCCCGGGCCACGCCACTTGACTTCCATACACTTCACCACTGGAATCCATGCCCACTTGAATTAAAAGACTGGAATATGGCAGAACAATGTGCTCCACCATCTTTCCATCGGCTCGCGCTACACACTCACTCACAGGCCGCACCCACGGCCGTGGTGCGTATCTCTCAATTTCCTCCAGCACTTTGCGCACACAACTTGAATCCCGTGCCCTGTGCTTCACTCGCCCATATAGTTGAAAGTAAATCCCGGCACTGTTTTCACCACAAAACGGTACACTCAGTCGCGCAGCCCGCATCATCAAAACCATTGTATCCACTGCATCCTCATCGACCCGTCCCATTCCCATACTCCCGCCTCCTCTCTTCTGCTTCAAGTCTCTACTCAATCCCTTCACAGCTTCCTCGTATTGACAAACCCCGCCTCTCCGTATCACTGTCTTCACCCATCGCGCACTCAAAAATAGTCTCTTAAGCTCCTCCACACACCCGCCCTGTTTCAGAACGCGATATATGCTCTCGAAAACATACTTCTCTCTTGCATCCTTGCTCTCTCTGCCCTCGCTCTCAGTTATAGCAAGCAGTCCTCTTCCCTGCCTGCATACATCTGCCAACTTCTTATACCAGAACGTTACACTTTCTTCCTTCTGCGCCTCCTGCACCGCAAAATCGTGCGTCAGATCATGCACCCGCAACCCACCACAGCCCTTCTCATACTGCAACTCTACTAATCCAACCCTTTCCATCTCCTTTGCACACCTTTCCGTCCACTCCTCGTCCATCTCCCACAAATCTCCAACCAAACTCAAAGGTATCCGGTCTTGCTTCTTCATAACGCACAGACTCCGGTGCATTTTTCGAAACGAAAATTCACCAACTGTCTCCCCACTCCTTCCCACATCCAACTCCAGGATATCCAGTGACGCATGCAACGTCCCATCCAACGACGAATATCCGTCCTTCGGACTCTCAGCGCGAATCGTGTTACGACTCTTCATCCTCGAAAGGTACGCCCCCCATGCTTCTGATACTTCTCCTTCCCATCTTTCCCTGAAGTACCTCACCATCGTTCCCGCCACGTTCAGCGCAAGCGGCAATCCGCCACACATATCCAGTATTTCACCCACGGCTTCCTTGCATCTCGCATCATCCACTTCCTCTCGATTCGCCTCACTCGCGTGCACAAGCATGTCAACTGCTTCTTTTCCACCCTTCTCCCTCGGCTCGAAAGCAACCCGCTCACCAATCTGACGCAGCTCCCTATCCCTCGTCGAGTACAGTAATCTGCTCCTCCTTCCCCCGCTGCCCCCCGCAGTGTCAGTCAGAACAGACAACTTTTGAAGGATATTCGCGTCTATATCATTCACCACCCACACATCATCAATGATGAACAGACACACATGACTACAAAACCACGCTTGTACCTTCGCTAACACCCTTCTAAAATCGCTCTCCTCTCGCATTTGCGCAGCAGTCTGGTTGCCACCGGACGCTTCCACAATCAGGCACAGTTCTTCAATCAGCCGTCCCACGTTTCCGTCTTTTCCCAGCGACATGAAGTACACTCCTCCCGAAAACTCCGCCTTAATCTTATCGTCATGCGCAATCGCTCGTAGGGCGCATGTCTTCCCGACTCCGCCCTGTCCCACTGCTGTCGCACCCACATGCTCGTTCCTATCTCTCTGTAGTACAGCCGCTTTCAGACGCGACTCACACGTATTTGGTAATCCATCGCTCCCCTGAGAATCAAGCTTCACACATATCGACGCAGGATTACGTTCGGCTCTTATCGACGGCCTGAACATATCACCCGTGCCTCGCCTGATCGACTCCACGGCCGCACGAGTCGCGCGAGTATCGATACCCGTGCTCGCCTGTAGAATACGATGGTGAAGGCGGTCCGCTTCTCGCTTGCGCTTCTCTAAGACTTCTCTATCTCCCACTGCAGAGGCGTACGCACCGAGTCTCGCTTTTGGGTCGTCCGACTCTTTCTGCAGCTCATCGAGAGACTTAGAGAGTCTCAAGATATTGAATGGATAAGCAGGGGGTTCTGCGAATAGGGGGTGTTGTTCGGATTTGAAAAGGCGATGGTGGCAAAGCGGCGCTTGCTCTTCTCTCTCCGAATCTCTTTCTCTCTTGTCGTTGTTAGTCGTTGGTAGGCGTTGTTTTTCGTTCTTGGTCTTCTCGCTGAAGAGATGGGAAAGAGATGCTTCCACTCTTGGCGTTGCCAATAAATGCAGTACATATATCAGTGACGAGGGACTTGGAGTTGCAACTATTTGAGCGATAAAAGCTTCCGGCCGATTCTCATACCGCAGACGAGCCTTTTCCATCAGGATTTGGAGCCATACACGATAACTCTCGAGAGGGTTCCGAAGAACTACTGCACAGAACTTGAACGCCCTCGCTGTTGGTTCATTCGATGCTGCCTTAGAGCTACAACTGTAGAAATCCCCGAGACATTCTAGAGCGTATATAGTTGATCCATAACATCTCTTCCGTAACGCGCTTCGGAAAAGACGAAGAGCAGTGCAACGATGCTTGCTTTGAAATAAGGTGTCGATAGATTTGTCTTGCTCTGCTTCGCTCTGAAATTTTAGGGCGAGGTTTACCTGACGCATGGCAAACTCATTGAGCGTAGGCTTCAGATTGATATCAACGTATGGGATGCGGTTCAAATGTGGTCTGCACAGAACAGTGTCTCCATTCACAAGGTCCTTCGCGGCGATGACTCCGTCCATCTGCTCACGTCGAATGTTTTCACTCCTCGGCGACGGTGTGTCATTCTCTCTTTGAGGCTCTGCAGTGAGAACAAGAGCCGGTCTGTGGGGTAACGTAAAATTAAGTGTGGCGTTCTTTGGCATGTTGAAGGTACGAGTATCGCTGGCGTCCATGTTCTGGTCCGCACCATTCTGATACCACTTTTCGTAGTCGTTTCGAGTATTGGAATTGTTTGCAGAATCCTCACGTCGTGGCGCGTCGACATTGATGCCAGAGCAAATACGAAACCAATCGGCGTCCAAGCGTTTGATTGGAAACATGAGAAAGTGAATTCCGGCAATGCCACCAAATACATCGCTTTTGTGGTCTGCACTATCTGAGGCACCGTAGTTGGCTTGCAAAGTGGCAGTACCCTCAGGTCCCCCTACACCGGCGCCGGTATCTCTCTGGTTGGATGCCTCACAAGAAATAGAAATGTTGGCGATAATTTTTTTGGTGACAATAGCCATCATCCTTCGCTCACCTTCCCGGAAGCGAAAGTCGGCGTCGATCATCTCGAGAATCTTGGTGAAAAAGAACTCTGGGTTCTGCCAGAGCAGCTTCCGTAGATTACCGAAACAATACTTTTCGCAGTTTGAGGCACCGACAGACAAGTCGCGTGAGGCGGTGGTTGCCGTTTCGTGATGCCCCTCAGTTTTAAAGGAACCTAGCAAACTGGCGTCCAAAGCGACACGAACAGAGTGATCCGTAGCACTAGCCTGACTAATCCGGTAGTCTACTTTTGTCACTTTGACGTTCCTTTCCATATCACCAAGGAGCTTATCGACTACTCCATTTTTCTCGGTGATTGCACCATTAGCTGCATGCTCTTCCTGATAGTCTTCGCAAATTTTCTTAAGGTTTGCGATCGTAACCTCAGGCGGCTCATGGCGGAAGGCAGGGTCAGGGTTGACAAAAAGCACGCCGAATAGGTCGAATCGCTCGGGGATCATTGGCCGGAAAAGCGAGAAGGCGGAGAGCAAGCAGTCGAGTTCTTCGTGGATTGCCTTGCACGGTTTGG